TTATGCAGATGTTCCCAGTGGCGGTTACCTGTGGCAATACCTTCATTCTGAAACCATCAGAGAAAGATCCAGGTGATTTTTTGTTCTAATTTCAGTTGTTTACCCTGGATTTAACTCCTTGGCACGGACACGGACACGGACACTTGTGATTGCATTCAATTTATTCATTTTTTCAAATTATTATCAATGTCGGCGTGTCAGTGTTAATGTCGTGTCCAGTGCCTGTAACTGTGTCTGTGCTTCATAGGTGATGGTACATGCAGCATGCTCCTATGATAATGAAACTTTTATATGGCAAAACTCACAAGTATACAATCTTCTGTCAGATTTCATGATTCATATGTTTTGTTTCTTACTGCTTATGATAGAGAAAGTTGGTGGTCATATTATAACTTTTTGCATTTTTTCAGGTGCTTCTATGCTTCTTGCACAACTGGCAATGGAGGCTGGTTTGCCTGAGGGTGTCTTAAATATAGTTCATGGAGCCCATGTATGCCATAATCTTTTTTAATTAAACTTTTTTAGTCATTTCATTATGTATTTGAATTTTAAATCAGAGATTTGCACATAACTTTACTTTACGCCGTTAATTGTGATGCATCAACACCCCTTGCTGTTTTTTGTTTTACTTGTTTATTGATGTTTGTGATAATCCAATTGGTGACAGGATACTGTGAATGCTATATGCGATCACGATGATATCAAAGCTATATCTTTTGTTGGTTCAAATGTTGTAAGTCATCTAATATTTTTTTTCTCTTAAATTTTATCGCTTCTACGTGCTGCTTTTTCTTTCTCTCTTTAATGATAAACTAAATTGTTTAACCAAATCCAATCCTGATGTATGGCAGCAGAATTAAGTCACTTTACAATTCGTTGCACCTACATAGAAAGAAAAATAAATGCAAGTGATTTAAGTGCTCTTTCTTTCAAATGGAAGTTATGCATTACATATCCTTATTTGATTTTCTTATTTTTGTATTTGAGGCTGGAATGCACATATATGCAAGAGCAGCAGCTAAAGGAAAGCGTGTTCAGGTGGATTACTTAGTCTTAGTTTTCTTCTTTCCATAGTGAAATTGTTTCCGGCTCGTAGGGTAAGGATTACCCTTACTTATAAAGACAAGTTCAAGCCATATATTATCCGATGCGGGACTCTTAACACACCCACCCCCTCACGCCCAGGACTAGACATCTGGAGTGTGGAAATAAATGGTGGGTGACCCTATAGCAGAAACCTGATAGAAGGTGGTCCACCGGATCTTAATCCAAACTCTTGATACCATGTTAAGAAATGTAGTTGGGCCTAACTCAACTCTACAAAACCGGCTAGTAGGGTGAGGATTACCCTCACTTATAAAAACATGTTCAAGCCATATATTATCCGATGGGAGACTCTTAACACTTTCTACTCATACACCAATGACCAAAGTTGCGCACCTAATAAAATTTTGTTTTGCAGTCTAATATGGGGGCAAAAAATCATGCAATTGTCATGCCAGATGCAAGTGTTGATGCTACCATAAATGCTTTAATTGCTGCAGGTTTTGGTGCTGCTGGACAAAGGTGCATGGCTTTAAGTACAGTTGTTTTTGTTGGTGGCTCAAAACCATGGTATGATACTCTATTAGTTTTTTATTTAATCTGTGTTTAATATGACTTTTGCAATTGTTATTGATGTGTATTCATTCCATCTTTGTTGATAATTCTAGTGGGATTGTCAATAGAAAAATCTATGTTTTAACCTTTAATAAACTCGAGTATAAGGGACACTCCAACCCAAATACAACTGAACATTGTAAATTGGAAATCAAACTACCTCCCTCTCCCCCGATCTAGCAAGAGATATTTTTTTGTTGAATTGACTAGGTTCGTTTTCGTCTTTATTTAACTTACTTTTAACCATGCACTTATATATTCTGTAGCACCGTCACCTACGAAAAAAGGTGTGCTCGTGTGTGAAACCGACATCGACACTTGTGATTACATTTAATTAATTAATTTTTTAAAATTATTACTGATGTCGATGTGTCAGTGTTGGTATCGTGTTTTCGGTTTGTCAATGCTTCATAGCTTATACGTATTTAAGTATAATTTCATCTTTAGTCTTCACGCTGTTTGTCCAGGGAAAGTATACTCGTAGAGCATGCCAAAGCTCTTAAAGTAAATGCTGGAACTGAACCTGATGCAGACCTTGGTCCAATCATTAGCATACAGGTTTTCTATATATGTTCTTATTTCTTTTTCTCTGTTGTGAACTTTAGCTCAAATTTAATATCAAATCTTCTTAATATTGTTTAAGAATTACTGCCATAGGTATTTCAGTGCATCAAATTCTTGTGTACATGTTTTTAAGTTTTCTCACTAACTGCACAGGCAAAGGAGCGAATACACAAATTAATTCAATCTGGATTTGAAAGTGGGGCCAGACTATTGCTTGATGGAAGAAGTATAGTGGTAGCTTTTATAATCTCAACCATTTTTACCATTTCATATTTTATACTACTGGTTCACAAATTTCTTTACTATGGCTTGTATTTGATCAATTTACCTGTTAGATATGTAGCATTTGAACTGATATTTACATCTTAGTTATTTCCGTTACATGCATGTATTTTAGGTCCCCGGATATGAATCCGGCAATTTTATTGGCCCGACCATCTTAGCAGATGTCAGTTCCGACATGGAGTGCTACAAGGTATTGTATTTACTCATTAATCTCCTATCCATAGGTGTTAACTTAAGTATTCCAATGAATAAGAAGACTTGAAGTTTAGACTTAAATTTGACTATCTATCACGCCGGTGCAGGAGGAGATTTTCGGCCCTGTTCTTCTTCTCACGGAGGTGCATTTTATTTGCTTCATCCTTACAACCTCTACTTGGAATAGTTTTATTCTTCATTTTTCGATCATGTGTTAGAAACTCATTTATTAGATTTATCATTTACCTCAAAACTAGTTTTTTTTCCTCTTTCTTTTTCACTTCAGGCTGATAGCTTGGATGAGGCCATAAAGTTTGTCAATGAAAACAAGTATGGAAATGGTGCTACTATATTCACTAGATCTGGTGTTGCTGCTAGGAAATTTCAGACCGAAATCGAGGCAGGCCAGGTGGGAATCAATGTTCCTATTCCCGTTCCTTTGCCATTTTTCTCCTTTACCGGAAACAAAGCATCATTTGCAGGCGATCTCAATTTCTATGGTATCATAAATCTAGCTCTTTTCCTCCTTTTTACTTGTACTGTTAGGTTATTTATCAAGAACTTAGTTTTGAATTTAATGCTGTTTTTTCTTTTGTGATTACAGGCAAGGCAGGGGTTAACTTTTATACACAAATCAAAACAATAACTCAGAATTGGAAGGATTCGGTTAACAATGACAAGATTAACATGGCAATGCCAACTTCTCAAAAATCTTTCGAGTGACTAAATGTATGTGGTTTATGAAATCTTTGCACTCTAATACGTTCTGTCAGTTAATTAATCTTCTTATACATTCTCAACTTTTGGTTTTTGTTAAAGTATTGTGTTAATAATACATTTTGTTTTGAAGTTTTGTAATATCTTTGTTTTAATTGGATTTGAGTTTGAGTATTATGTCAAGAACTGGTGTGAGGCATTCTTTGAAGCAATAGCTAATGAACTTTCAACTTTAAAGCCGAAACCTTCCAGAACAAAAACAATTAGAAAATGTAATGATCCCAATCCACAGTCTCAGAGGCTTTGTGCTTGAGGGACTGTGGACTGGGATAAACTTATTTGATCCATAAGAGGAGCAGCCCATGGCCAAAGCAACCCAAAGGGAATTGCAGAAGTGCTGGTCGAGCGCGCTTCTGGGTTGAAATAATTTCACAGATTCAGTCTAAGAAAACCCTCTTGCGATCACATGCTGTGTCATCATGATTCAACTATACTCTAAGTGAAACCCAATGCTAACAATGTAGAAGAATTTTTTCGAAACCCTTGTCTAGATGCTTGTCCTAAACCATATAGACTTTTGCAGCTTGCATACAACATGATCCCCTTTTTTTGGATGCCCCAAAGGAAAATCCATGTTTACCTCTTCGCTCAACTCACAATTAAGAAAGATATTATTTATATCTAATTGAACGAGATCCCATTTATGTTAAGCTGCCAATGCAAGGACACGAATAAAAGTTAACTCAACTACCAGACTAAATGTGTCAACAAAATATATGCCAGATTGTTATGTATAACCCTTGACTACCAGTTTAGCTTTGTGCCTTTCAAGAGTACCATCAGCTCTATATTTGACCTTGTATAATCATCTACAACCTACTGTCTTTTTACCAGGTGGTAGGAGTTAATGTTTCCTCTCAACCACTATGTTTTGCCGAGGTTTATAAGGGCATGAATATTGATGCAGAACAACATGTTCCTGCAAAAAGGGTTAAGAGCAAATTTATTTGCATTGTCTGATCTCAGGGCCTCAGGCTTATCAAACTGAGTAGTAATTACTAACTGTGAGATTACCATGATTGCAACCATGAAGATCTCGTTTCAACAGAAAATACTCAAGGGTCTTTCCTTTGCAATAAATGTGTATGTAGATCATTCCAAATGTCGGCGGCGCTGTTGGAGTAGATCACACTTTATGCAGGTCTTTCTTTTATTTTGGATTAAACCACTCTAATCATCTGCCTAAAACAAAAGAAACTTAAGTAATCAGTTCAAAAAGTTAACAACAATAGGGGCGTTACTAGTAACACAAATTATTGCTTCAACCAATTTTGTAATATATAATCATTACAAACCAAAATAAGAAAAATTAGAATACAAAGGAGAAAAGGATTCACAAAATCAATATTTCAACAATCCAATGGCATTTTATTTTTCTGGAGATACTATTTTTATTTGTTTGACATTCATTACAATTCATTACATATAATGCACTATCTCAACTCACATTTAACATATAAAATAAATTACATAGGGATAATACACGAATGAGAAATAGAAAACACCCAAATAACATGCAACTAGTGACAAATTAATTCCACCAAAGTCTTGAAATCCTGCACTGCTTTACCATTTGGTCCAGCTACATCTAGCACTGTCTTTTTCACCTTTTGAGCATTCTCTCTCATTTTCTTTCCCTCTTCCTTCACAAGAATCAGATTCAAACTCTTCAACAATCCATTTTTAGTAAACACTCCACCTTCCATCTTCACACCAATCTCCCAAATATCTTCCACCATTCTTGCAGTCATCCCTTGATCTCCAAAGAATGGCCTACATATCAGAGGCACCCCATTGCAAATACTTTCATAAACTGAATTACCTCCACAGTGTGTCACAAACACTCCAACAGAATCATGTCCTAAAACTTGAGTTTGAGGCACCCATGGAACAATTTTCCCATGATTACTAGTCCTCTCAACAAACCCTTGTGGCAAAATTCCCTTCAAATGATCCTTAAGTGACCAAAGAAATGGAAATCCACTTTCTTCCAATGCTTCTGCCAATGCCACAAGCTCACGTGGAGGTGGTGTCACTGTAGTTCCAAAGCTAACATAAACTACTGATGTACCCTTCTGTTTGTCCAACCATGACAAACAACCAGTTTCATCTTTCTCAGAAGGTGGCAAAGGTGGTAGAGGAATTGAAAGAGTGAGAAAACCAACATAAAGCATATTCTGTAACTTTGATCTCATATCTTCAACAAAGGTGGATCAAACTCCTCAAAGAAATTCATAACCACTGCTTTAGCTTTAGGCAACACTTCACCATATGAAGCAAGTGTTTTTGAGAATAGTGTCTCGTCTTCACCACAGTTGATTATATCATCAGGCAAATCTCCAACTCTCATCTTAGACAAACCTGGAAGAAAATCCAAAGATCTATCTTTAGCATTGTTTTCAGCACACTTTCGACGTATAAGATGAGTGTAGAAATGTGCTGAGAGAGAGCATGATAAAGGAGGCCAAACAGGAATCCATGGAACATTGAGTTTCTGAGCTACAAAAAGAGAAGGAACAACAAAAGCATCAGCAATGATGCATGTAACTTTCTCTTTTGTATCAGCAACTGCTAAATCTAATCCATTTTGGAGATTTTGATGACCTGCTTGAAGAAAAATGTTGGCTCTTTCAATTGGGTTTGAAATTCTGGCCGCAGATACTCAATGTCACGGTCAATGTTATGACATCGTATCTGACTTTCTATAAGACAGTAAATACAAAAACAGTAAAGAACACAGTCAATTGTTTACCCAGTTCAGTGTGAAACAACACCTACTCTGGGGGCTACCAAGTCAGGGAGGAAATCCACTATAAGAGATATTAATCAGGAATAAACCAACCAGTTTATCTCCTTCACTTAAGACCTACCCAATGCAACTTCAATCTAAGTTCTACTTAAACCTGAGTTCCCACTCACTCCCCCTCAATCACAGCAGTGATACTTAAAACAATTGACTAATGAATTGATGAAGACACTCTTCAAAACATACACTTGATTATGCTTCACAGCTTATTAATCAAGCAACACAAACACTCTTGCTTCACAGCTTTGAGTGATACATAAACCTAACTTGACTTTGCTTCAAAGCTTTAGTCAAGAGACACAAAACACTCTTGCTTCAAAGCTTTGAGTGATACAAAAACCCTTACAATTAAAATCTATTCCAAGTCACTTATCACAATGATACTTGCTTGGATTACAATAGTTAAAACTATACAGTTCCTAATAGATCTTCAGTCAAAAGGATAAATTCCAAACAGCAGCCCTGTTGAATATATAGCAGTTGTTGCTTCAGTTAGGGTTTCCACAAAAAGCTAGGGTTAATTCCGTTTGACCTTAAGACTTGGTCACAAGACTTTATCAACCAGGTTAGGGTTGAGCTAGGTTAACCCAAAGTCCACGAGAGATTCTGTTCTGGAAAGAATGAGTCATCTTCCTGAAAAATCTCAGAATTAACCAAACTGCATAGCTGCTAAATCAGAACAGGATGTCTTAACATTTGTTATGACATCAGAATTCCTGTTTACTGATTTTGGTAAATGTGATCATTTTGCAAAATGCTCAGATACACACTCATAAACAGCAGCACCTGTATGCCATTATTTTTCTGCAAAGGTACCTAATAAATCAGTACCTAATAAACTAGAATGTTATGACATCAGTCATGACATTCACACACCTGGTTTTACCAAAAATGCATGCCAATAACTAAATACCTACAAACTCCCCCTTTGACAGATTTTTGGCTAAAGCCCCTAAGCAATCAGAGAATAGATAGCAGCAGAATAAATGTGACTGCAGAAAAATATAGTGTTTACCACAGAATATCTCCCCCTCTTTAGCCACAAATGGGCCAAAGATACATGTACTTAAATGTTATACAGTCATCCAGAAAAAGTAACAAAAACAGCAACTAAAATCTGAAAACACTTGCAAGCTCCACCAGGAACCAGCATCAATTCCACCAATCCTTTAAGCACTGTCACCTTCAGAGGAGCTACTTTCTTCAGTATTGAGTTGATCTTCAGCAGCACCCTCTTCCCTTCTGTTTCCTTCAGCCTCCTCCTGTTCTAACATGGCAATTAGGTTTTCTAGAGTCTTTTTCCTAGTCTCCAGCTCTTTGCAGGTCTCTTTCAATACAGCTATAACATCAAATGTTTTGGACTGAGTCTTTACAGATGATGTCTCAGCTGATGTTATAACAATATCAGAAACATGAGATCCCTGAAAAAGCTTGTAGTGTAACCCAAGAGCAGGAGCTCTTTTGCAAGCAGTATCTCTTTCCACCAGGATATCAGGGTATTGTGCAAGGATAATTCCACAAAGGAGGGAGGGAAAGGCAATAGGGCCTTTGACAGCATAACTACCAGCATGTTTTAAAGTTTGTTCAAAAATATACCTGCCATAGTCAAAAACAGTCTTGGTTCCCACAGCATAAATAAATCTCCCCAATCCTGTGGAGATAGTTGATTTATGGTTTGTAGGGACCCAGTTGGCTGCACCAATCTTGTGCAGGATGGCAAATTTCATGCTTAGTTTGCTGGCATTCAGCTTGCCTTTCAAGGGCCAGCACTTGACTTGTCTTGCTGTGATGGTTTGGCATACTTCATTGTCAGTGACTTCTAATTCAGGGAAAGCCTCATTTGATCTTCCAAGAAATTTGTTAATTTCTGATGGAGAGAAATTAACCCTTCTTCCTCTAACATAGACACATTCAAAGTCAGCTGACCTTCCATCAACACATTCATCAGACAAGTTAACTATGAACTCCTTGACCAGATTTTCATAGCACTTGGTAAATTTTACAACAGTCTTCATCAGTCCAGCAACTTTAATCAGGTCCATGATTTCCTTGCAATCTATGGCACCATTGTTTAGCTCTCTTTCTAAAGCTATTCTCTTCAAGCAAACATACTTCCATCTGTTGGCATTGTCAGGGTGGTGAAAAGAGATGTTGTCTGTTGGGACTTCAGGAACTCTAGCCATTTTGCTGGAAGGGAGTTTCCTTCTGATAGGAATTTCTTCAACCTCAATTTCAAATTCTGATTCCTCATCAGAATCAAAAGACTCAGGTTCTTTTCTCTTCTTTGTAATTGGTTGTCTTCCAGTATGCACTTGGGCTTTCACCTTCCCTTTGGACAGACCAGTCTTCACAGATTCTACCCCAGTCTTTCCTTCAGACTTGGATTTCTTATCAGCAGGTTTCTCTTTGGTCATACATTTTACAGCATTCTGGCTACCCTTTCTTTTCATCATTCTCCTAGCTATGCTAGGGTTTACATTGGCAATTAGTTCATTGTCTGAGTATTCCTCATCCACATCAATAACAGGTGGATCAACAGTCTTCTCTGAAGGGTTCTGAATATCATCAAGGATTTCAGATGATTTCTGAATGTTGTCATTTGGTGTCACAACATTCTCAGAGACATCTGCATTTGCTTCAACATTTGGGCTTGCTGATTCTTGATTTAAGGGGACAGAAATCCCCGATACAGAGTGGTTTTCGCTTAGTATTATTGTAACAATCCTAGCAATTGCTTGATGTACTTGAGCTGATCCTTCCCTATTTGGTACAGAAGAAGAAGGATGAGAAGGATTACCGGAAGCAGTAGCTTGAGATCTTCCTGCATGCCTAGTTCTCAGCTTTTTGACTTTGGAGGGGTCAGTTTCCATTTCTCTGAGAGGAGTGATCTCCAGGACTTCAGAATCTATGCATGTGGTGATTGCTCGAGAATCTTGGTCAGATGATGAAGATGAAGTGGTCGCCTTGGTTGAAGATGATGTTTGAGACATTTTGATTGACTTAGAGCACCAGTAGCAATTTGAGAGAAAACTTTGATTGAGAGAAAGGAATAGGTTGCAAATTCGAGAGAGGTAGGAGGCAAATGAGAGTCTATTCAACTTCTTAATAATTTTTAAAGAATTGGGAAAACATATGATTAACCCACTAAAAATAGACTTAACAAAAATAACTCCTTCAACCCTTGTTTTAAGCAAAATTAATTGCTATAATTTCTCATGTTGGCAAATACCCAACTTGCCCCTCAAGTCTTCAAATTGAATTGTATCAGGATCCTTGGTCAAAATGTCAGCCAGTAGAAGCTTAGTGGCAACATGTTCCAGATTAATTGTTTTCTCTTCTACACGTTCTCTGATACCCAGATTGTCATAGTGCAATGTCATAACATCTTGTGTGACATTATACTCAGAGAGCATCTGTGTTATCCAGATAATTTGAGAACAGCTACTACTATCTGCAAAGTATTCAGCTCCACCACAAAAATGAAAAGGAAGTCTTTTGACATGGATCATAGTTCTGGCAGATTCCTGTATGGTCCTATTTTGTTGAGGAGTTATAGGAGAAGAGAATTCATGACTAATTCCTTATGAGGAACAGAACTCATAAAACTTGCTGTTTTCAAATTCCTTGTCATGACCACTTCTGATTCTGACAATACAGCCTTCTTTTTCTTTTTGAATTCTTTTGCACAGTTTTTTAAAAACTTCAAACACCTCAGATTTTTCCCTAAAGAAGATAGTCCAGGTGAATCTGGAATAATCATCCATAATAACAAAGGCATATCCCTTTCCACCAAGATTTTCCACCAGCATTGGTCCCATCAGATTCATATGAAGAAGCTCTAGAACCTTAGAGGTGGTCAGATGTCTTGACTTTGGATGTGACATCCTAGTCTGCTTACCAACCTGACATTCACCACAAACTCTCCCTTCATCAATTTGCAGTCTTGGAATCCCTCTGACTGCCTCCATGGAGATAATCCTTTTCATTCCTCTTAGATGAAGATGGCCAAGTTTCTGGTGCCACAGTTTCACCTCTTTTTCTTCTTTGGCAATGGAACACACAGTGGAGAAATTAGTGTTCTCAGGCTCCCACAAGTAACAGTTGTCTTTAGATCTGACTCCTTTCATTACAACTTCTTGTTTTTCATTAATTACAAGACATTCAGATTTTGAGAAATTGACCTTGAATCCTAGATCACACAATTGACTGATACTAATGAGATTAGCAGTCAGGCCTTTTACCAGTAGTACTTCATTCAGGTTTGGAACTCCAGGGCAGTCCAAATTACCAACTCCTTTGATTTCACCTTTAGCACCATCTCCAAAGGTCACAAAACTAGTGGTGTGAGGTTTAACATTATTGAGGAGGTTCTTGATTCCAGTCATGTGCCTAGAACACCCACTGTCAAAGTACCAGTCTTCCTTTGCAGAGACCCTCAGGGAAGTGTGGGCTATCAGGGCAGTAGCCTTTTTCTTCCATTTAGGAGTATGTGGTACCTTTTTAGACTTAGGTTTGACTCCTGAGTTCTGATTAGGGTATCCATGCAATCTGAAGCAGAAAGGATTTATGTGGCCATACCTCCCACAATGATGACATCTCCATCTTTGGTACCTTTTCTTCATATGTCTCTGTTCCTGATGTTGAGAGTTGTGTTCAGACATCTGCTTTGACATTTGCTTAACAGGCCTGATCTTCTTGTCTGCACCAGATTTCTTTGCTTCCACAAATCCTAGTCCAGACTTGTTTCCCACATTTTGTCCAACCTGAAGGATTTCTTCCAATTTGTCAGTTCCATTTGTCAGCATCTTGACAGATTTGGTCATCTGGTTCAGTTGTGAGTTCAGCAATTGAACTTCCCCTTCTAGATGACTTATAGTTTCAAGGTCTGCCCTTTTTTCAGCCTCCAACTTTATGATGAGTTTTGATTGTTTCTCATTTTGCACACAGACTTCAGCACTTCTGATACACAATTTCTTGTAAGTATCAGCCAGTTCTTCAAATGTCACTTCCTCATCACTAGTGTCACTTTCAGAGGTACAAACACCAGTTAGTGCAGTAACTAGTTTGGCAGATTCTTCTTCAGAATTACTTTCTGAATCACAGTCAGACCAGGTAACAGTCATTCCTTTCTTTTGTTTCTTAAGAAAGGTAGGACATTCAGCTCGAATATGTCCATATCCTTCACAACCATGGCATTGAATTCCTCTGCCTTGATTTCCCTTCTCTTCTGACCTTGGTCTTCTGCTGGAACTGTCAATGTTAGAGGGGATGTTATGAATATTAGACCTTGACTTTGGATCTATTCTTTTGATGAGTTTGTTGAATTGTCTTCCAAGCATGGCTATAGCTTCTGAAATATTTTCTTCTTCATCCTCCTTGTTTTCACCTTCAGTGTTGGATACAAGTGCTATGCTCTTGTTCTTCTTGTCAACATTTTCAGTGATCCCCATCTCAAAAGTCTGAAGAGACCCAATGAGTTCATCCACTTTCAGCTTGCTGATATCCTGGGCTTCTTCTATAGCAGTTACCTTCATTGCAAATCTTTTAGGCAAGGATCTGAGAATCTTTCTCACCAGTTTTTCTTCTGACATCTTTTCTCCCAATGCTCCTGAGGTGTTGGCAATCTCCAAGATGTTCATGTGAAACACATGAATGGTTTCATCTTTCATCATTTTTAGATTCTCAAACTTGGTAGTCAACATCTGAAGCCTTGACATTTTTACTTTGGAAGTGCCCTCATGGGTAGTTTTGAGAGTGTCCCAAACTTCCTTGGCCAGTTCATATTGATGTACTAGTCTGAATATGTTTCTATCAATTCCATTGAACAAGGCATTTAAAGCTTTGGAATTACCCAGGGCTAACTCATCTTCTTCTTTACTCCATTCTTCCTCAGGCTTCAGACTGATTGTCCCATCTTTCTCAGTTATGGTGGGATGGTTCCATCCTTTGTCAGCAGCTCTCCAAGCCTTTTTGTCCAGTGATTTTAAGAAGGCAATCATACGAGGTTTCTAGTAGTCATAATTTGATCCATCCAGAATGGGTGATCTGTTTCCAAAAACTCCTTCTTTGTCCATAGTGCCAGAAAGTGATATCCCTAGATCTCACCCAGTAATACAGGCAGGGTGCCTGCTCTGATGCCAATTGAAATTCTGGCTGCAGATACTCAATGTCACGGTCAATGTTATGACACCGTATATGACTTTCTATAAGACAGTAAATACAAAAACAGTAAAGAACACAGTCAATTGTTTACCCAGTTCAGTGTGAAACAACACCTACTCTGGGGGCTACCAAGCCAGGGAGGAAATCCACTATAAGAGATATTAATTCAGGAATAAACCAACCAGTTTATCTCCTTCACTTAAGACCTACCCAATGCAACTTCAATCTAAGTTCTACTTAAACCTGAGTTCCCACTCACTCCCCCTCAATCACAGCAGTGATACTTAAAACAATTGACTAATGAATTGATGAAGACACTCTTTAAAACATACACTTGATTATGCTTCACAGCTTATTAATCAAGCAACACAAACACTCTTGCTTCACAGCTTTGAGTGATACATAAACCTAACTTGACTTTGCTTCAAAGCTTTAGTCAAGAGACACAAAACACTCTTGCTTCAAAGCTTTGAGTGATACAAAAACCCTTACAATTAAAACCTATTCCAAGTCACTTATCACAATGATACTTGCTTGGATTACAATAGTTAAAACTATACAGTTCCTAATAGATCTTCATTCAAAAGGATAAATTCCAAACAGCAGCCCTGTTGAATATATAGCAGCTGTTGCTTCAGTTAGGGTTTCCACAAAAAGCTAGGGTTAATTTCGTTTGACCTTAAGACTTGGTCACAAGACTTTATCAACCAGGTTAGGGTTGAGCTAGGTTAACCCAAAGTCCACGAGAGATTCTGTTCTGGAAAGAATGAGTCATCTTCCTGAAAAATCTCAGAATTAACCAAACTGCATAACTGCTAAATCAGAACAGGATGTCTTAACATTTGTTATGACATCAGAATTCCTGTTTACTGATTTTGGTAAATGTGATCATTTTGCAAAATGCTCAGATACACACTCATAAACAGCAGCACCTGTATGCCATTATTTTTCTGCAAAGGTACCTAATAAATCAGTACCTAATAAACTAGAATGTTATGACATCAGTCATGACATTCACACACCTGGTTTTACCAAAAATGCATGCCAATAACTAAACACCTACAGGGTTGGAACCAAGTACATGACCTTGTGGAACACCATCATGAATACTATAAAATTTGATGCTATTTGGGATGTTTGGTTTTGTAAAAAGAGGTTCATTAGATTTTTGGGTGCTAATGAATGAGAAAAGTGTGTTTGGTGAAGCATGTGCTAGTTTGAGGAGAAGGTTTAAGAGTGCAACAGGATGGCTTCCAAATGGAAAAACATAAACTGCAACATGTTTTTTCTCGGATGAAATTGTCATGGTGTTCTTTGCAAGCTGAGATTTGAGACTTGCGAAGGTTGTAACTACCTCAACCTCTTCTAAGACATATATAATAGGTAGCTCAATTGATTTTAGTTAGATGAATATAATTTGTTCGAATCCGCACCCTTGTATCCGATGCACATGCATATCTACCGACTAAATTGTCTTAATTAACTGAACATAATTATTTGCGCTGTGAAAAAAAATTACACCTAACGTTAAATGCTGTTGTTATGTCACGTTGAGTGTTTAATTTCTTGCTAAGTTTGGGTAACTTTTCTTTTCATTAGCTTAGCATTTGTGATTTCTAACTCAAACCTAAGGGCAACATTTGTTCAAGTGGTACTCTCTTTTCTTTTTTTTTAATAAATCATTTGAAATTCTGGTATCATATATGTGATGTCGAATGAGATGTCACGACACAAATATCTGAGAAACAAAGTAAAATGCAACAATAATAAATACAGTAAAAACACAAGGGATTGATAACACAGTTCAGTGTACAACAACACCTACTCTGGGGGCTACCAAGTCAGAGACAAGTCTAGTAAATAGTATCAATTCATAGACCCTCAGTAAACAACCAGTTTACGATCTAATCACTTAATCACTACCCGTGCTACACTTCTACCTAAGACTCACCTAGGTATGAGACCCTCCTCAAATCCCTTCAATCACTTACAGTGAAGAAACAACAGAAATAATAAGTTTAAAAACTTCAATCATTCAATGCTTAAAAGCTTATGAATGATACATAATTAACAATCCAAATAACAACACAAATATTAAATCAATACTAGAGTGTTTGAAAATTAAAAGACTTAGACTTCTAAAACAGAAAGAAAGTATTCTTCTTCAAAAGTTGCAGTAGTCTGAATAAGGAAGCTGTTCCTTATATATGCGCAGCAGTGGGCTTGGGCTGAAAAACAAATATTCAAATCTTTTGAATATTTCCATGAAAACAGGCCAAGATATAATCCATAAAAATAATTCAAATAGAAAAATATTCCTCCATATTTTTCACAGTCTATGAGTCACAAATCCTGAATTATGGTGCGCAGAAAATCAGGAAACAAAAAACTTAAACTGATATTAGGCTGAGTTCAGTTCAGGAGGCAGATGTCAAGACATCTGCTTTGACATCATTCAAAACAGTTTTGCTTCAAATGTTAAGATATTTAGCAAAACATTATCAAGTCATTATTTTACCAAAATTGCTGTCAACAAACACTTACAAACTCCCCCTTTGACAAATTTTGGCTAAAAATTATCAGAGCAGCAACATAAGCAAAGCAAGCAAAACATAAACTCAGTTAGCAGTTAGTTGTTAGCAAAGGAAGATGTCAAAATATCTTCTAAGACATGAGACTCCCCCTCAAGTATTAAGCTCCCCCTCAATCAGTGGTCAGTCAGTCAGTTTCTCTCCCCCTTTTTAGTCATAATATGCCAAATAAAAGGATGCATTCAAGAGTGTATCAATAATTTAGGTACAAACCATAAGAATCAAATGTCAAGCACATGCAAGTTCCAAAAAGAAACAAAGGGTTCAGATAAAGAAACATCAAATAGTCTAACTGTCGTCAGGACCAGTAGACTTGGCTGAGTCAGAACTTCCTTCCTCACTAGAATCTCCTTCTTCAGAGCACACTCTATCATCAAAGTTGTTGTCCTTTTCCAGCTCCTTGATCATCTTATCAAAATTTAGCTTCCTTGCTGAGCTAACTCTGATCAGATCATCTAGTTCTTTGCAGGCTTCTTTCAATTTAGTGATCATGTCATCCTTGGTGAAGGTCTTGTTTTCAGCAGGTGCAGATGTCAAAACAATGTCTGAGACATGTTTTCCTGAAAAAAGCTTAAAATGAAGAGTCAAAGCAGACTCCCTCTTGCACACTACATCATTACCACTTAGATTCACAGGATGCTGATTAAGAATAATTCCACAGATGAGGGAGGGAAAAACAATTGGCATCTTAATGGCACAAGTTCCTGCATGCTTAATAGTCTGATCAAAGATGTAAGTACCATAATTAAATAGTTTATTGTTTCCAACAATATAAATAAATTTTCCTAAGCCAATGGTGATGGTTGAAGTGTGATTAGTAGGAACCAAAATAGCAGCTCCAATTCTATGCAAAATAGCATATTTCACACTTAGCTTGCTAACAGGAAGTTTGTTCTTCAAGGGCCACTCACTTACTTGATTGATAGTGATGGCTCTGCACACTTGATTATCTGTTACTTCTAGCTCACAAAAGTCATCTTCAGACCTATCTAAAAATCTGTTTATGATAGAGGGGAAAAATTCTACACACCTACCCCTAACATACACCTTTCTATACTCCTTACTTTTATGATCAACACAGTCAACAGGAATATTAACAATAAATTCCTTAACAAGAGTCTCATAGCATTTGGCAAACCTGGTAACAATTTTCATTAGTCCAACATAAGATATCAACTCCATGATTTCTTTGCATTCCAGAGCACCAGCTCCCAATTATATTTCCAGGGTAATTCTTCTTTGAAACACATACTTTCATTTTTCAGCATTCCCAACAGAATGGAAGGAAATGTTGTCAAGAGGGGCATCAGGTACCCTAACATACAGTTTCTTGCTTGCAGAATTTTTGATAGGAGATATGTTCTGGACATCTTGCTCGACATCATACTTAGAGTCAGTTTCTTTAACAACCACAACTTTCTTTTTTACTTTTAGATCTTTTTATAGCATCATCATCATCAGTGGAGCTATCAGATCTAGCTTTTCTTTTGATAGAGGGAGGAACCACTTTACTTTCGGGCTTTAGGGGTCCATACATGATTTTCTTCTTGGTTTTCTTGGTAGGGGTGTGACACTTGCATACTTCACTTTCCTGGATTTGAGCCTTCTTGCGATACCAGGCACCACATTAGTAATGAGCTCATTGTCATATAGCTCATCTACATTAACTACATTCTTAGAATTTTGAACTTCTGCATTCTTGGAGGCAGCAACATCTTTCTTAGTAGGAGAGTTCTCTTCAACATCTTGTTCAACATTTTCTTCTTCCACTTCCTTTAAAACAGAGATAACAAGCTTCTCAAGTTTGATTTCAGCAACATCTTTCTTGAAGGTGGATGATTCAACAACAACATTTTCAGGGCTACTTCCTTTGTCAGCCGGAGGAGGCATGCGAGCAAGAGGAGTAGAAATCCCAGGCACAACAAAGCCTTCATTTAATACTCTGTCTACTAGCCTTCTGATACTTCTATCAATATTAACAATCTCTTCTTCTGTCCTATTTTCAATAGCAGTAGAGGAGTTACTTTTATCATCTTTGGATTTCTTTGTAGGTGATGATATGGATTTCTTGACCTTTTTCTCAAGAGGTGGGATGGTTGTTAGAGGAGTAGCATCAAGTACTCTGTCAAGAGAGAGATTTTCAGGGAGGTTGACAGATTTTGAGGAAGACGATGTATGATGTTGAGACATCTTTGAAGATTTTTGAGCAAGGAGATGAAGAATGACAAGGGTTCTTTTTCTATAGAGGAGAATTAAGAGTTTGTGAAGGTAGAGAGATGTGATTTCGTAGCGTCTGGAAACCAATTTGAGACAGTCTTGAAATGATTGTTTTTTAAATTTGATTTGTTGGAAATATAAATAATATAATATCACTTTAATGATATTCCCACACGTCTTTAATTTCTACAAATCCTCATATAGGAAAATCTCTAATTTTTCTCTTAAGTTCTCAAACTGATTATCATCCAAAGTCTTGGTGAAAATGTTAGCTAGTTGCAATTCCGTGGCTACATGTTCTAAGGTAACAATCTTTTCTTCAACAAGCTCTCTTATGAAGTGATGACAAATATCACTATGTTTGGTCCTGCTGTGTTGAATGGGATTCTTTAATATATTTATGGCACTTAGATTGTCACATAATAATGTCCTGACATCTTGTTTGACATTGTATCCTGTTAACATTTATTTCATCCAAACCAATTGAGAACAATTGCTCCCTGCAACAATATACTCAGCCTCTGTAGTGGACAGAAACACACAATTTTGCTTCTTACTAAACCAAGATATGAGATTATTTCCCAGAAAGAAGCATCATCCTGATGTACTTTTTCTATCATCAGCACATCCTGCCCAATCAACATCACAATAACCAGTTAAGGTAGAATTAGATCCATGAGAATATAGCATACCATAGTCACTTGTCCCATTTACATATTTAAGAATTCTATTTACATGGTTGGCATGGCTAACTTTATGATCATCTTGATATCTTGCACACACTCCTACAACAAAGGCAATGTCAAGTATGCTAGCTGTGAGATATAGAAGACTGTCTATCATACTCCTGTAAAGACTTTGATCCACACTTACTCCTTTTTCATCTTTAGACAACTTCAGATGTGTGGGAGCAGGAGTTCTTTTGTGACTGGCATTTTCCATCCCAAACTTCTTTACTATATTCTTAGCATACTTGCTATGAGATAAAAATATGGAATCTTCCATTTGTTTAACTTGCAGACTAAGAAAATAGGTTAATTCACCAACAAGGCTCATCTCAAATTCTGATTGCATTTGCTTGACAAAATGTTGAACCATTTCATTTGACATCCCACCAAACACAATATCATCAACATAATTTTTTGCAATCATGATCTTCCCTTCTTCTTCCTTGACAAAAAGGGTTTTGTCTATGCCACCTTTCCTGTATCCATTATCACCAAGGAATTCTGTCAACCTATCATACCAAGCTCTTGGAGATTACTTTATTCCATACATAGCTTTCTTCAGTTTGTAAACATGTTTATAGAAACTTGTATCAACAAATCCCTTTAGTTATTCCACATAGACTTCTTCATTCAGATAGCCATTTAAGAAGGCACTCTTTACATCCATTTGGAACAATTTAAATTTCAGTATGCATGCAACTCCCAATAGAAGTCAGATTGATTCAAGTCTGGCCACAGGAGCAAATGTTTCATCAAAGTCAACTCCTTCA